CTGGAACAAGCAGTGAAGGTACAGGCAGCGGGACAACAGGAACAACGACAAGCGAAGGTGGAACCGTAACTACGGAACCAAATATAAATGTCACGCTTCACAGGATTCTGGAGAAGCTACTTTCTGAAGGAATAAATGCGACTGGTTACATAGAGTTCAGGGGGAGAAATATCTCCGTGCAGTTCATACTAACCGTTCTGAGCCTGAAACATATCGATGTCCACAAGGCCACACCTGCAGACATATACAACATCTTATTGTTATATTTACACTATGCAGAAACCGCTGGGTCAAATGAAGAAGGCGTACCTAAGGACGAGATTGTTACATTGCTGGCGATTCTGCATTATTTGAAGACAAACAAAGAAGGTAACAATGGAAATATTACTTACGATGGCTATGAAATCCCAGTACAGTACATTGCAGACATTATAAAAGCACAAAATATAAGCTTCAATAATTTAACAATATCTGAACTCAACCTAATCCTCGAGATATATATCGCACATGAAAGAAACTCCATTACTGTTAATCCTAAACCACCCAGTGAAGTTATCGCCAGCCTGGAAGAGGTATTGCAGATCCTCAAGGCACAAGGGGACAATGCCACAGGAGCTGTTGAAATCAATGAGTATATCATCACATTCCAATACATCAAACTTATCCTAAAGGCGCGAGGAATCGACGCTCAGAATGTAAGCCGAGAGGAGCTCTGGCTCATAATAGAGTTGTCTATAGAGTTTCAGCAGCAGTCGGGGAAGGCTGAGACAGGCCCTCAAGCCGTACTGAAATTATTCAACGAAATTCTCTCAAACACTGAGAGTGTTAATACTTCTGTTCTTGTGGTGGATGGACACAGTGTTTCCATAAGCGAGATCGTGTCTGCTCTGGGCTTAAAAGTTGATAACGCAACCGGTAAATATGACACTGCAAACCTTACCACTACTACATTGTTGAGAGCAGTTCTGGAGGTTATAGGAAAGCAGGGAGCTTCAACTGTTCCCTCTCAAACAGCAAATGGAAAGGATGAACTGCTCAAGGAATTCCTTCAAATCATCTCGAATCCCGACAATGTCGCGAACACTATCATTCTGTTCAATGGGCAGCAAATTAGTGCGCAAGCTCTAGTAAGTGCACTAGGTCTACACATCGATAGTGCAACAGGGAAATATGACACACACAGCCTTACTGCGGATCAACTGTTTGAAACAATCCAGCAGTTCGTAAGCACTGCGCAAAACTTAACTACATAATGTCTACAAAATAATTATCAAGAGGGAAGACAATATTTCTTCTATCCTGAATTTCCACTGCATTCCTGGGTTCTTAGGAAGATATGAGGCCTACTGTCGTCTTTCATTTCATGGTCACCTACAATTTATATTTGTAAGGGGGACGGTTTACACTGTTACTGCTTAATGGGAAAGGATTCTTCCATCTGACGTCACACACAGAATACACTGTTCGGAGTAGAAGAGGCACTTCCAGGGACAACACAGAAGCATCGGGTATCCACAAGATATCACCATCAGATATAAAGATCTATCTTTAGCACTCCTTTACGTGATTCCCCCAGCCCCCACAATTACTTGGTGGCATTCCTATTCACGCCAATGCTCCCCTTCCTCTCAGATAATTACCCCTCTACTTCAGTACACATTTTCCTTCATAGCTATTTTAGTCTCCAGGTTACCAGCAAATTTCTTGTACGTATCCGTGCATTTTGTACACTTTCAAGTTGCAAGCAGACAACGCAGAATTCTTACGGTTCCACATGGAGCTGTGTAAATAAACTGTTATCACGGCTTCACAGACTCCCACACGATTCTTAAAGCAACTCTCGAAATCGATCCCACTGCTAACTTTGTCACATTTACACGCGTTCACTAAACAACCACAAGTTCTACAGCTTAGAGATTTGGCACACAAATAGTTGAACGTTGTCTGCATGTGCCGAGTCTCTTTGGGGGACTTTATTCTAAACATTTCCTTCCAAGTGTGAAGAAGCCAGCAGCAGACAGGCCGAAACAGAGACACGCTTACGTGTACTTGCACAGATGTACGTCTTGTGAACACTCAGTAAAATGCATCTAAATTTGATAAAATTAGCAAACCGAACATGGCGTTTGCAACCTTTTTTTAATAGCATCCTCATTATCCACCGCTCTCGCTCAGCAGAAACTCACAGCTGTGAAACTGGCGGAAACTGGGTACAAAGAATTGTTGCATACTACATCCGACACGATGTTCTTATTCTTGTGCAAATAAACACAACAAACTCTGCTAACAATTTACTGTCTCCAAAAAGGGTGGCAATGCATTGCGAAGAGAAAGAAACAAAAGTCTCCAGGTGTTTGCTGAAGGACGAGAGAAGACGGAACCAAACGTGTTGCAGGGAAAGAATGTATTTTTCTGTGTGTCTCTTACTCTTTATTGTTTGATCCTGTTGTGTGTTACCATATATGGTATTCTTAATGTATCAGTCAATACAACAATTCTGTAATAAACAAAACAATCTTACTGCATTAATATTCGTTTAGTGTGTGAATTATTGCTGCATGTTTCCACCCTGTCGGCTCAAAATCAGACAATCATTTTATGAATATGTCATCCTTATTGGATACTGTACCAGCATGGTTCCAGATTGGTGATTTATAAACTTTAATTCGATTTGCGTTATAATTTTAACGGTTAAATTTAAATTACAGTTTCCGTTTAAAAATAAATTTCCAGTTAGCATCAACATATAATATATGTACTCCTGAATATTTTTCTGGCGTAATGACGCATGCCATATTGTTTGGGGCCTTCCTGGGGCTCGGCCCTGGTCTGTGTCTCTCCTAAATGTATACTGTTGTGCGGTGATCCCCTACGCGATGAACTGTTCTATTTCTTCTTCACAACAGTTGCAGCGGCTGTGCTGGAACACTTCAGTGCGTTATACTGTGACCTTCCCCTTGTTCTCTTGGTGTGGTTACGAGTTCTGAAACTGTAAGTCACGGCTAGTACAGGAAATACAAGAAATTGACCTATGAGACACGCTTTACCAAACCGATCAGCCAACCCAGTTTGGACGTTTCTCCCGTCTGAGTCCGCCTCAGTAACAATGAGGTTACCCACTCACAGAGTTCTCTATGACATGACAGACACTTCGTGCGTTGTTATAAGGCAAAAGACTCGAGGGCCATGAATGGTCTGGAACTGCAAATAGGTATATCACTATGTAAGATTTGAGGCTTTCACGGCGGTGACTATGAAGAAAGCAGTCTTCTGGGATTTGGCACCGTGTATATGTGGTGTTAACCGACGTTTCGTCTGCTTTTACAGGTTCTCACGGTCTCTTCGCTTGCAGATTTCTTATATTTTTTCTTCTACCCTGAAAATGGAGGCGATACGTTCCTCCGAAACGTCGGTTAACACCACATATACACGGTGCCACATCCCAAAAGACTGCTTTCTTCAGGTATATCACTGTTAATGATTTTTACACTACAGATCACTTCACGAGAATCTTCCCAGTCCCTATTCAAAAGTCTTCAAACCCGTTTCCCGGCAACGGATCGATAACTCACGAAATACAAAAGTCTCACTAAATCATACACTCCCAATATCACTGTACTACAGCGCACATGGCCTTCAGATCACAGTTAAACCTTCACGGGCCCAGTTCCTGTTACCCCTCTGTACCCCTCCAGGTTACTGCTGTAATCCTGACGACAACTACTGAACTCAACCTGAGTCTGAGTCTTTGTTACGACCGACGGTCACGCAGCCAGGTCGTCTTCGAGCAAAGAACCCGCCTGGGGCTTATGACCACATATTTATTGCTGTCGCACAGTTGTGTGGTTGTTGATATTGGTCGCTGTCTCTGACGAGAGGCACGGGTCTTGCACAAGAAAAACATATCACGTGATCGCTGTCCAGCTAGTTCATTGGTGCGCTGGCTGTGGCCTAGCAACGAGCTGAAACCAAGCGACGCGTGGAGTTTCACCCGCAGAATATGCGGTGAGTGAAATTTCATCCTGAGATTTTGTAGTGAGTGAAGTTTCATTCTTGCAGGATGGTGTGCATGAAGTTTGAATCTAAGATCCAGCTATACGTGAAGTTTCACCCTGAGACTATGCGGTGAGTAACGTTTGATTCTGAGAGCAGCGTATGCGTGAAGTTTCATCCTGGGACTGAGCAATGGGTGAAGTTTGATTCTGAGAGAGCAATGCATGAAGTTTCACCCTGAGACTAAGCGGTGGCTGGCATTTGATTCTGAGATCAGCGTATGCGTGAAGTTTCATCCTGGGACTGACTAATGCGTGAATTTTGATTCTGAGACCAGCGTGTGCGTGAAGTATCATCCTGAAAATAAGTGGTTCGTGAAGTTTCATCCTGAGATTGAGGGGTGGGTGAAGTTTGATCCTGATATTCAGCGATACCTGAAGTTTCACACTCAGACTAAGTTTCATCCTTATATTTAGGGCTGTGTGAAGTTTCATACTGAAACCAATGAGTGTGAGGTTTTTTTCATGAGACCAAGATGCTTTAGAAGTTTCACTTCGAGACCGAGGCATAAGTCGATTCAAAATGTTCCGACACTGTACTCTGAACGTCAATCCATTGCTGTTTCCTGTCCAGTGACTCTTCCGGATCTTGTTCGTGGATCTTCAACGCCACTCCAGATCACATGTGTCTAGCTTGAACGTAAGTTTAATTTTAGATTTGTCTACCCACAGAACAGTATCTCCTTTTTTTGTAAACCATAATTCATTCGTACTGCCAAATTATCGGACAGCCATAACATTCCTCCAGACCTTGCCGTTTATCATGTCATTATCATGACCCTACATGCGAATACACAATTTGCATACCAGGAGGCAGGTATATCTATCTTCAACGGCGCATATGAGAAATATGATATTAGCTATTTCCGTAGATACGAAACTTCGAGTGTGTCGCACAAAACTGGCGATAAGGACAAATAACCTCTTAAATACGGACGTCCTCCCATTGGAGCAATCACCGTGCTTCAAGCTTTCAGTGTTCGCAGAGGAAGAGCGCTTGAGCAACATGGGCACCTTAACATGGACAGTGAGTACCCGTCAGGTTTCCTACAAATAAAATGCAGTAGCGTAAATACACGTGCGTAGTTTATTTCCTGATACGTCAATTTAAATTCGCATTCGACGGTCATTCGTAATAATTCTCCTTGATCAGCTCCGTTACGGAGGCATCTATGCAAAGTCTCTGAAACGCAATTTTTCTTATAAATCTAATAGTGGCTCAGTTACTCAAGAATTCCTCGGCCATTTACAGAACCCTAAGCTTCATTACCATGTTCGCAACAGCCGACTACTTGCCTGCTGAATACAATCCACACCCGTAAATCATTATTATAAGATACATTTTAATATTATTCCGCGTGTGTCCAAATGTCTTGTAACGTATTACTTTCAGGTCAGGCATTCCAAATTTTAGTATGCATCTGACCACTCACCTCATCTAGTGGCGAGGTAATATAGTCTGGACTAACCAGGTCACCGCCAAATACGGCTCCAAAAATTAAACAAATATTGTGGGCTAAGTTGTTATGAGGATGTTGCAGGGTTTATAACAAGTTAGGTAATTCGTGTGTCATACAACGTATAAAAATATTGGCACATTTTGCTTATCAGGACAACCGTAAGGCTTGTGCTAAATGTTCACTGGGAGTCGCGTTGTCTCTTCTCTCTGCTACAATACTCTGAAACGGGTCAATAAATTTCTGCGAAATTCCAGAACAACAAATTTCATGAAAATATATTTAGCGGTTTTCACGTCCATACATATAAACACAACGCAAGGCACAGGTTTCGAATCCAGGACAGGCATATTTGCAACTTATGCGTGTGAATATTTTTAAAACGTGGCCCTCACAGTTGTCCTCTCGCGGTATCACAGTCCACGCAGATTTGTGGTGGGTTGTGCTTGTTGCATCCTGCATACAAATGAAAGTTATAAGGCTGTAAGAAATATATTACTGAAGTTCGGCTGAGCCAGCTGAGTACTGGAGGGGGCGAAGTCCCTGCTTGGGCGTGCTGTTCGCCTGGATTCTACTGCAAGATAAGCTCTGCTTGTGCTTAATTAAGTACCCCACCATAAACGTGCAGGGGAGAATGGAGATACTGCTCCAAGCATTCTTATCCTCGGCACGTGCCCGGCGATTTACCCCCCCCCCCCCCNTGACCACTTCATCCGGCGGTGCATGGCGTTGTCAGAAGGAGAGAGGGGTGCAGATAACTTGCAGACAGGGGGAGGTTTACACTGCTGTAAAAGGGTGGAAATAACTCCATGGGGTAAACATACTCCAATGTATTTAGGTTGTAGTCTTCTCTGTTACTGCATCTTGTAGTCTAATATGTTTCGGAGCACATTACTGCCTCCTTATCAGGGCGAATATTCCAATACTGACAAACCTTCTGGTTTTACAGGTTTGGCTGTTACTCGCCCTCACAGCATTAGACAGTAACGTTAAAGTTGAAGCGGCCTCTGATATTCAAAGCGACAATGGAAACGAGGGATATCTCTGTGGGTCTAGAGATGTAGCTAAACAGGGCTGCGGTCCCAAGGAGGAGCTCTCTGAGGAGCAGAAAATCATCTTAAAGAAAATAATGGATTATTTAAAGGTGTATTTTTATCCGACGGCGATGGGCGATTTTACGTTCAACGGGCAGCGCATTTCGATAGACTTCATAGTGACAGCTGCGTACATCGACAGGAAACGCTTTTTTTATGATATAACGGTGGAAGATCTGTGGGAAAAAATACAGCTGTACGAGTATTATGAGAAGAAAGCTGAAAGCGAACCACGAAACCGGGACATAAGCATGTACGAACACGTCACAGCGACCTTTATAAAAACGTGTGTACGAAACAGAGGAAGCACTACGGGTCGAATTTACATGGAAGGAAGGACATATGATTTGAATAGTATCAACTACATATGGAGGAATATTGAAAACCCCACGACTTCGAAGATAATCAAAGAAATAAAAACACATGCTAGAAGATATAAATCTCATGTTATCATAAGGCCACTGCCGGAAGAACCATATCCACAACAAATACACGCACTTTACGTCATAGAAAAGTTCCTGAAGACGCAAGGTTCCAGCGCTACGGGCACATTCTTATTCGTCGGACAAAGAGTATCTGTACAGTTCATCGTATGGTATCTGGTCCAGCACGGAAGAAGTGTCAAGAATTTAACGGCCAAAGAGTTGTTTGGCATCATAAGTACTAACATCCACGATGTTGAAGAATTTTACAGACGGCATGAGAAAGAGCAAGCGGTCATGAGGGCCATACTGAACTATCTGAAATTTCTGGGCGATGGAGCGATAGGTGAAGTGACGTTCAAAAGCCACACACTCTCAATAGACTTCATAATGACTGTCGTGCATTTGCAAGGCATAGACATATATTCACTGGAGGTGTCAGAACTGTGGGAACTAATGAAGATGTATGAACTTTATGAGAAGAAACTTGGAAGTGAAACACAAAACCGGAATATAAGCAAGAATGAACAAGTCACACTGCTCTATGCAATAACGTATTTGAGAAACGATGGTGGGGTTACAGGTCAAATTGTCATAGATGGAGTGAAAATTCCAGTATCTTACATACTGAACCAACTGAAGATACGTGGAAAAGATTTTCATACCGTCACTATCGACCAGTTATATATACCTCTAAGGGCCTACTTAAGTAAATACACCCCTCCTACACGTGTACCCCTAGGCACACAACCAACAGAGGAACAGACACTTGAACTTAGGGCCCTAATAGACTTGATGAAGACGCAACGGTCTCCCGCTGTGGGGTCATTCATATTCAGCGGGTACAGAACTTCTGTACAGTTCATTCTAAGCTACATGGACCAACATGGACTAAGCATCGACAAATTGAGCAGCAAAGAGTTATGGAGCATCATGCTCCTGCATGAACGTAATTAGACAAACACAAACACTTCAGTAAGTGTAGGGCCAGAAAGCGGGGCAACAGCAGCAAGAAAAAAAACTGAGGTGGTGTAAGCACACAGAACACTTGACCCATTGGAACCGTATACACAGAACCACATTTAGATGAAACACTTCACAGAATCCTGGAGGAGCCTCTTTCTGAAGGATTAAATGCGACTGATTACATAGAGTTCAGAGGAAGAGACATCTCCGTGCAGTTCACACTAACCGTTTTGAGGCTGAAACATATCGATGTCCGCAACGCCACAGCTGCAGACATATACAACATCTTATTGTTATATTTACACTATGCAGACACCGCTGCGTCAAATGAACAAGGCGTACCTCAGGACGAGATCCTTACATTACTGGCGATTCTGCAATATTTGAAGACAAACATAGAAGGTAACAATGGGAATTTTACTTTCGAAAGATACAAAACCTCAATAGAGTTCTGAACAGAATTTATCAAAGCACAAAAAATAAGTAAAACTAATTTTACAATATCTGCACTTTCCGTATAATCCTCCAGATATATATCGCACAAGAAGGAAGCTCGATTACTGTTAATCCTAAACCGCCTGGTGAACTTATCGCCAGCCTGGAAGAGGTACTGCAGATCCTCAAGGCACAAGGGGACAATGCCACAGGAGCTGTTGAAATCAATGAGTATATCATCACATTCCAATACATCAAACTTATCCTAAAGGCGCGAGGAATCGACGCTCAGAATGTAAGCCGAGAGGAGCTCTGGCTCATAATAGAGTTGTCTATAGAGTTTCAGCAGCAGTCGGGGAAGGCTGAAACAGGTCCTCAAGCAGTACTGAAATTCTTCATCGAAATTCTCTCAGACACTGAGAGTGTTAATACTTCTGTTCTTGTGGGGGATGGACACAGCGTTTCCATAAGCGAGATCGTGTTTGTTCTCGGCTTAAAAGTTGATAACGCAACCGGTAAATATGACACTGCAAACCTTACCACTACCACATTGTTGAGAGCAGTTCTGGGGGTTATAGGAAAGCAGGGAGCTTCAACTGTTCCCTCGATAACAGCACATGGAAAGGATGAACTGCTCAAGGAATTCCTTCAAGTTATCTCGAATCCCGACAATGTCGCGAACACTATCATTCTGTTCAATGGGCAGCAAATTAGTGCGCAAGCTCTAGTAAGTGCACTAGGTCTACACATCGATAGTGCAACAGGGAAATATGACACACACAGCCTTACTGCGGATCAACCGTTTGAAACAATCCAGCAGGTCGTAAGCACCGCGCAAAACGCAACTACATGATGTCTACTGAATCATAAGCAAGAGGGGAGACAAATGTCTTCTATCCTGAATTTCCACTGCATTTCTGGGTTCTTAGGAAGGTATGGGGCCAGTGACGTCTTTCATTTCATGTACACCTACAATTTGGTAAAAGGGACGGTTTACTCTGTTACTGCTTAGCCGGAAATGTTTCTTCCATCTGACGTCACACACAGAATACGCTGCTCAGAGTAGAAGAGGCACTTCCAGGGGCAACACAGAAGGATGGAGTGTCCACAAGATATCACAATCGGATATAAGATTCCAAGTTTAGCCTTCTTTGCGTGCTTCCCACCGCTCCAACAATTCCTTGTTGGCATTCCGATTCACGCCTATGTAAGATAATTCCCCTTCCCCATCAGTACACATTTTCGTTTACAGTTATTTTAGTCTCCAGGTTTCCAACAAAATTCTTGCACTTGGACCTGCATTTCGTACAGTTTCAAGTTGCAAAAAAAAAAGGGGGGGGAAGTACAACTATCCCTGTACCAGGCCGTGAAGGCCCATAGGGTTGTGAGACGTTGAGGGTCCCACATTATCTAGACAATCGGCTCAAGGATTGAGGTAAATTTGTCCGCCTTACGCGCCGGCCACGCTCTACTCCACAGGAAAATTATTTAATTAATTTCTTTTACTCATTTCTGTTACAGGCTGAGTCGACCCCAGGGCCATAGTGCGGCTGGAAGAATTAGGTCAATTCAAACAAACCCAATAACCTATGCTTCCCTTCCTGTCAGATAATTCCCCCTCTCCTTCAGTACACATTTTCGTTTACAGTTATTTTAGTCTCCAGGTTTCCAGCAAATTTCTTGCACTTGGACGTGCATTTCGTACAGTTTCAAGTTGCAAGCAGACAACGCAGAATTCTTACGGCTTCAGATGGAGCTGTGTAAATAAACTGTTCTCACGGCTTCACAAACTCCCATTCAGTTCTTAAAGCAACTCTCGAAATCATTCCCACTGCTAACTTTGTCACACTTACACGCGTTATCTAGACAACCACAAGCTCTAGAGCTTAGAAATTTCGCACACAAACAGCTGAACGTTGTCTGCACGTGCCGAGTTTCTTTGCGGGGACTTCATTCTAAACATTTCCTTCCAAGTGTGAACAAGCAAGCAGCAGACACATCGAAACACAGATACGCGGATGTGTACTTGCACAGATGTACATCTTGTACACTCAGAAAAATGCGTCTATTGATAAAATTAGCATGGCGAACATGGCGTTTGGAACCTTTCTTTAATAACAACTTCATTATCCACCTCTCTCGATCAGCTGAAATTCACAGCTATAAAACTCGCGGAAACTGGGTACAGAGAATTGCTGCATGCTGCATCCGATACGATGTTCTTATTCTTGTGCAAATAAACACAACAAAATCTGCTAACAATTTACTGTCTGAGTAAAGGGTGGCAATGCATTGCGAAGAGAAAGAAATAGAAGTCTCCAGGTGTTTGCTGAAGGGCGAGAGATGACTGAACGCAACGTGTTGCAGGGAAATTTCTGTGTGTCTCTTAATCTTTATTGTTTTTCTTTTTGTGTGTTATCATATATGGTATTCTAAATGTACAGCCAATACAACAATTCTATATTAAACAAAACAGTATTCCTGCATTAATATTCCTTTACTGTGTGAATTATTGCTGCATTCTTCCACCCTGTCGGTTCATCATGAGAAATTCATTATATGAAGATGTCATTCCTTATTGGATATTTTACCGACATGGACCCAGATTGGTGATTTATAAACTTTAGTTCGATTTGCGTTATAATTTTAACCGTTAGATTTAAATTACAATTTTCGTTTACATATAAATTTCTAATTATCATAGAACATAAAATGTATGTATTTCTAAAAATTTTCCTGGCGTAAAGACGTATGTCATATAGTTTGTGGCCTTCCTGGAGCTCGGCCCTTGTCTGTGTAACTCCTAAGTGTATACGAGTACTGTTGTGCGGTGATCCCCTACGCGACAATAAGTTCTATTGCTTCTTCACAACAGTTGCAGCTGCTGTGCTGGAACTCTTCAGTGCGTTATGTTGAGTCCTCCCCCTTGTTCTCATGGTGTTGTTACGAGTTGGGAAAATGAAAGTCACGGCAGGTACAGGAAATACAAGAAATCGAGCCATGAGACACGCTTAACCAAACCGATTAGCCAACCCAATTTCTCCGCTCCTCCCACCTGGGTCCCCCTCATTAGCAACGATGTTACACACTCACAGAGTTGTCTATGACGTGACAGATTCTACGTGCGTTGCCATAAGGCAATAGCCTCGAGTGTTCAGGTTTCACTTCGCAGAAGGCGCTAGCGGCAGGCACTACATGTTTTCACAAATTTCCCACATAATTCTACCCATTGGGCTTCATGAACTTGGTTTGTTGCTTACGTTCCTAGCTAATTTTCAGTTTCCTGAACTTGGGTAGTTCATCAAAGAATCCATCCAAGTCCGAAGTTTTCGTGACGTTTCGTAATAGGTTTATTTTTTTACGGTGAGAAGTTGTTGGACCCACGACCAGCACCCAAGCCGGACGAACACCCATTGTCTGTTGTCTGCGTGTGCTTATTCACTATATTCGCAGTTGCCCTCAATATCTGGAGGCCGTCTCCTCTATATGCACCCTGAGAAGGCGCCTTGCCGTGGTGACAAGACACCAGCCCAACATGGACTTGTACGTTAAATACATACTTATACAGAGTGAGTTTTAATAAAAGTGACGAGTTCACGGCTCGACGCTTCACTGGAACCGGCGCAATGCAGGCCGCGAAGCGCACGCGAATTTCGCAGATACCTCAGCATGCCGATAACATTTGGTATGGAGGGAACTTCTTACCGTTGCTCCCTGATCACAGAGGTCGTTGAAGATGCTGTCTCTCTACACATAAATAGATTTCGCAATTCATTATTTCGTTAATGACACATGTACAAGAATCCTTCTTGCATTTACAGCACACAAGACACCAGCTTTCACAAGGATGGCTTCAGCAGATGTTGCCGTTCTTGCGCTAGACGCTGACACTCCAGTCTCCTGAGCTAGACGGTTCAGTGATTGACTGTGTGCATGTTCAAGTCTGGCCCCTGTCCTCTCACCTCTCCACAGTAAGCACAGTCTCGATATCCTAACTCTATTCGCTTTATCCACCGAGTTATGAACTTCTGGTCTGCTAGGAACTGATTCATCACGAAAGTGACGTGAAAACTTTCCAGCAGATCCGTGTTTCATGTAGGTGGTATAGAGAAATAAGCGTTGCTCTAAAGTATCGCGAACCTTGTCTCGTCACATTGTTGACTAATTGTTAACTGAGAACAAATGATTCATGCCACTGATAACTACAGCCTACTGCTGACAAATCATAAAGACTCCACATGATGAACTCAGCTTCACGCCTTGTAACATAATTATGTTTAGATGTCTACACGTTAATTTTTTCTTCCTTTTCTACACGATATCGGCAGGCAAGCAAACTGAGTCATGGGTAAAATTTTCATGCGTTTCGCGGCCGGAAATGGACCGGCTGCCGTGAAGCGCAGTGCCATGAGCTTTCCAATTACATTAAAAATAACATTAACTCAACTCAACCTGAGCCTTATGTTACGACTAACAGTCAGTCGGCCAGGCTGTCTTTGAATAAATAGCCCGTCTGGGACTTACGACCACAACTGTCGGATAGTTGTGGGTTTGTTGATATGGAGTGATCTCTCTGACGAGAAGACGGGTCTGGAGTATTCAACTGCTGCAGGTCCTCGCCAGCGTAGTGATTCTTAAGTTCGTGATCCATTGGACTCAAGACCATGTTTAACTGTCTTAGATTCAAGACTTCCCTTTTCGTCGCATTCTACGAGTCGCAGGGCTACGGTGGAGTTATTGGACTAAACCTCCTCGCAGAATCTCCTTTTCTCTCGGCATGGATGTTGCACAGGAAAAACATGTCACGTGATCGCTATCCAGCCAGGTCATTCGTGCGATGACTATGGCCCAGCAGCGAGCTAAAACCAAGTGATGCGTAGTGATTCACCCTGAGAACAAGCGGTGCGTGAAGTTTTCTATTCTGAGACTAGGGTGTGTGTGAAGTTTCATCATGAGACTGAGCAGTGCGTGGATTTTCATTCTGAGACTGAGCAGTTTGTGAAGTTTGATTCTGAGATTCAGCGATGCGTGAAGTTTCACCCTAAGACTAACCGGTGCGTGATTTCTGTTTCCGAGACAAGGGCTGAAACCAAGGAGTGCAAAGTAACACCTTAAGACTAAGTGATGTGCTATATATAGCCGAGACTGAGCGGAGTGCGAGGTTTCTTTCTGAGACCGGAGGGTACGTCGATCCAGAACGTTCCGACACTGCAGTCTAAACCTCCTTCCATCGCTGTTTCCCTTCCAGCGAAACTCAGGGATCATGTTACTGATCACATGTCTCTATCTCACATGTCATTTTTATTTTAAATTTGTCTGCCCACAAAACAGTATCTCTATTTTTAAACCATAATTTATTCGTACTGCCAAATTGTCAGGCAGACAGAGCATTCCTCCAGACCTTGCCGTTTATCATGTCATTATCTTGACCATACACGCGAATACACAATTTGCATACCAGGCGGAAGGAATATCTATCTTCAATTGCGCACATGAGAAATATGATATTAGCTATTTCTGTAGATACGAAACTTCGTGCGTGTCGCACAAAACTGGCGATAAGGACGACTAACCTCTTAAATACGGACGTCCTCCCATTGGAGCAATCACCGTGCTTCAAGCTTTCAGTGTTCGCAGAGGAAGAGCGCTTCAGCAACATGGGCACCTTAACATGGAAAGTGAGTACCCGTCAAGTTTCCTACAAATAAAATGCAATAGCGTAAATACACATAATTTCGTGCGTACTTTATTTTATGCTACATCAATTTAAATTCGCATTTCATGATCATTCGTAATAATTGTCCTTGGCCAGCTCCATTACGGAGGCATCCATGCAAAGTCCATGAAACGTAATTTTTCTTAAAAATCTAACAGTCGCTCAGCTACTCAAGAATTCCTCGGCCATTTACAGAACCCTAAGTTTCAGTACCATGTTCACAACAGCCCGCTACTTGCCTGCTGAATTCAATCCACACCCTGTCAATCATTACTATAAGATACATTTTAATATTATTCCGCGTGTGTCCAAATATCTTGTAAAGTATTACTTTCAGATCAGGCATCCCAACAAATTGTTTTATGAAACTGACCACTCACCTCCATCTAGTGGCGAGGCCATTTAATCTGGACTACTCAGATCATCGTCCGATACGGCTCCAAAATTTACATAAATAATCGTAGCTAGGAAAGTTATGAAGACGTTGCCGGATTTATAACAGTTCGTGTATCATTCAACGTATAACAATCCTGGCACTCCGTAAGGCTCGTGCTAGAAGTTCACTGGAAACTATTTGCGTTGTCCCTTCTCTCTGCTACAATATTCTGGAAGGGTTCAAGAAAATTTTGTGAAACTCTAGAACAACAAATTTCCTGA